AGGAAATTATATCGTTGCGGTTCCATGATTATTATTGAAGAATTGGAAGAGAAAGTAAGTAAAGCTAATTTTTTTTTATTATTTATACGAATGTAATAAGTCATCAGTTATTGATCACTGCATTAAGAACAGACCTAAGTTATTTTTCAATCGGAGGAGATTGAAAAATAACACGTGTTAATTGAGAATTGACAAATTTTGTGATCGACGCAGAACATCCATATTAGATTTTAACAAATTTTATCATGGCAGGACGTGTTTCTAATCGAGGAACAATTGAATGAGTAATGCCGGAAAGAATTATAATCCTCACCATAATTCAAATTTATACTTAATTCGGCCAAATTTATACAATTTAGTTGTTAACATTAATAATTCTCTAAATTCTCAAATATAATTCCGTTCAATTTTTACACTGCATAAAATTATACTAATTATATCTATATGCATAAAATTATACAGTACCAATTTTGCTTGGAATTATATTTAATTTTGCCTAGATTTATACATAATTTTACGCGGAGTTATTCTGTATAAAATTATACTAATTGGCTTGGAATTATATATTAATTTTGCCTAAATTTATCTTTAATAAGCGGTATAAACTTTTCTAATAATTATTTTGAAGGCATGTGTTACATTAATTTCTAATGTTACTTGAGTTCGGCTTTAACATTCCTACCTAGGATTATCAATAATCACATACTATCACATGATTCCACGGACCCATGGGTCCGTGAAATCATTAATTCTAACTTCGTTAAGTGAGTTCCTAGAAATTACTAAGTCGAAATTTTAAAGAATATATACAAAATCATGACTTGAAATAATGTACTTGCATATTAATTAGAAATGCGAAAAGTATATGTAATAAAATTTAAGGCAGGTCTGAGACATGAAAAGAAATATGAACTTTCTCATAATATTTTAATTTCTTAATTTATTCGTGTACAATAAACTCTTGATTTTTATATGCTTCCTATTCGGATTCTTACTGCATCTATCATTAAGTAAGATGTGGTTATTTAATGTTAAATAATTCAAATTGGAATTCTAACTTACATAGTTTTTTTAACATTATCATCATAGTTCAAGAAATATTAATAGATCAATTCAACAATTAAAAATATTTTACGCGCGTTTTAAACAGAACAAAATTGTTACCATTTACAATAGGCAGCATGACGTAAGATTTAAAGATTAAAATCAGCAGAAGCAAAAATTTCAAGTGTGGTGCTGAATTATTCAGCCTCAATAAGTTGTTTATAACATTCTAGTTTGAATGGCATGTAATTTCGTCATCTTGTAAGACGTCTATTCCAATTATATCCTTCCACATTTTGTGGGGTTCTCCTCAATTCAATCCTCATGCCGCCGCAATCTTTCCATGAATGAATTCATTTTGTTGTTTAAGTGATAAAAACAAAATCCACACTTGTGTTTTTAATGCGTCATTTTTTTCTTATTATTAAATCTTTTATAATTACACACGTAGTTTTTGATATACAGTATTTGGCTGGCATATTAGCAAACTTGTCAATCTTCATAATACTAACCGGGTCCGTACTTAACACTTTCTTTGTTTCCTTACTTAATTTAAAAACAACAAAACTTTCATGTAATCTACCTGAAACAAGGCAATTTTAACAAAAACACTTGCACATTTCCGAGTGGAATTTATCACATACTATACCTTTTTTTACTTTTTCATTATAACATGATTTTATTTGGAATTCTATGTACGAAGATTTATATAATTAATTAACATATATATGAAAGTTATTTTCACAATGAACACTGAAACAAAGAAATGGAGTCATCGCGCCGTTATTAATGTCCCAGATATTGCCATTGGGTGAATTGGTGTACAAGGCTTTAGCGAAAAATTAATGTTTATTATTTGAACATTACAGAAGAGATGGATAATATGCAGTCTTTAAAATATTTAATAATTGAAAATCCAATAGTGGATTTTATATAAACTATCATAAAATAATACATAAGTCTGAATTTAGTTGTATCTTTATAAAAATAAATAAGTTGAATATGAAAAAAAGAGACATATATTTTGAATTTCACGCGTCATAAATTAAGTTGAATCATAGTCAAAAATTCCTAACAGTTAGTTCGGCAGCCAAAATTAACATTCGCAGGCAAGGTGTGTTGATTTTGGATGTACTTAATTTCGGGACTATACGTTATTTCTTTAATTCATATCTTTTGAGAAATCCTTTTAAATGTAACAAATAGAAGGTACCAGTGATGAATAGGTTAAACTCGTTGAAATAGAATTATAGAGACGACAACGAGACTTTTGAAAAGAAAATCAGGATTTACTTAAACATTTAGTTTGACTGAAAAATAAAATTGAAATGGAAGTGTTTATACAGTCAATCCTCTATATAATCACTTAGTTGGGAGCATAAGAACTTTTTTTTAAAAATGTTCTTATAAAGAGATTGTGCCTATACAGAGGTTTTTTTTTATATATTTATAGTAGTTTATTTAGCAAATTTAAGTGCTTATATAGAGGTGTGATTATAAAAAATGTGACCATATAGAGGTCTGACTGTATATGGTAAAGTAGTATTAATTAAAGTTTAATTAACACAATTATTTAGTTTATTAAATTATACTTAATTTTGGTATTGGCTTAAAATGATAAATAAATTAAAAATTCAATTAAAATTCAATTTTAACTAAATTTTACCTTGCATATAAAATTGAAAATTATTGTTTTAATTTCGGTAACAAATAATCAAATTTAAATTATTTTTCGGTGACAATTAAAAAATGTATTTAAAGGTTCGTACAACTATTTATATTATTAGTTAAGCCCGTGAAAGGAATGAAAAAAGATGTAAAAGAGAAATTTTTTTGTATTAAAAGGGGTATCATTAATTACCAATTAAACCTAAATCATTTAAAAAAATAATACTTTAACATTCATACGGATTAAATCAATTGAAATTTATTTTATTAGTGATAGTATGATTTTAACATTGCATTAAAGTAGTCCATTAATTTATTTTGCTAATTTCTACTTTATGAATTTTATGAATTTTTTGTGTAAAAAGTTTTTTAAGATTTTTATCATCTTCAAATTTCTCTTCAAATTTCTCTTCAAAATTCTGTGTATATATTATCCAAATATTGAAATCAAATCGATGCCAGCCCCGCCAAAAAATGTCTCCAAAATTTCTAAAAATATCCCTAAAAAAAGTTCTACTGCTCCCAAAATTGTTTGTAAAGAAAACCAATATTAATAGTAACGAGGAACGAAAAAAAAAACAAGAGAAAGGCTACTATTCGGAGGTGATTAATTTATTAAATTCAAACGGTTTTGATGTGGAAACGGTTTTGATGTTGAAACTTTGGAAAAGCTCCAAATATTTACTGTTAAAGTTTCCTTCGAAGGATACCTCTTTTTTCTTATCATCTGGTATAAAAAAATTTTAAATGAAAAGGATTATCTAGATTTATATGAAGAAATTCAAAATTATAAACCAAAAATAATCCTTTACATAAAGGTAAAATTAAATATTTTGTAGAACATGTTCATGTAATCGTATGTAAATCGTTAGACAATCAAAGATTTGATAATATAGAAAAATTTAAAGAAATAACTAAATTAGAACTTAAATATAGTAATTGTGAAGGAGAAAGATGGATTATTAGCCATATAATAGAATATTTTTCTTATCAATATGCAGGAATGGATGTAAAAGAAACAAATTCATTTGGAACTTACATGAGAGAGAAAGTTAAAAATATTAAACTTTTGATCATTATTGTCAAGAGTATTATGATGTTAGTTTCGATCAGTGTTTGTGGTTTGAAGGCTGGAACCTAGGGTTGGAAAATTACTATAATTTTACGTCAGTTTGTGTAAGTTTCTGAAATCAAAATTTTTATTATGTGAATAATTTTTGCATTAAGAATGAATATAAATTACATTTCCGATGCAATTTATTAATGCTGGCAAACCTTTTAGAATGCCGGTACAATTATTATGTAATAATGCTTTTTGAACTGGAAGTCTAATAAAATTATTGGCAAAAAAGCTGCCTTTTCTTTTTCGATTTTATTTTATTCATGCTTAGATATTGTGAGGACGGAAAAACGTGACCTAATAATCGCTGCGCCAACACAAGTTACCCCGGTTTTGACGATCGCTAACC